GAAACTTTTCGATTGAATTGATTTTCTGGGCGACGTGTCGTTTATATACTCAGGTGAAGGCAAACTCCATGATTTCAGATGTTATTTTAGATATCGAATGATTTTCGTCTATTGTAGTAACACGTGTTCAAACATTGCGACAGTCTTTGTTATCAAGTAGCTCTTAAACTTTTCGAGTGTCGAATCCGATGGAATTTGTTGTCGTAAAGAGCACATGATATTTTTTTTATTTTATCGTTTTTCCAACACTTCCAAGAAAATTACGTAGGTCCCAAAATAAAGTTCATTTTTTAAGGATCAAATTTGACGGTGAACCGATGCCCAGAGACTATTTCTGACCGGTCCCAAAAAAATATTCCTCGATCCTCCGTGAATATTATAATAAATTCATCTATCGGCCATAATCGTTTGTCAAACACCAAGTCTCTAAAAATCCGCTAAAATCTCCGTTCCCGATGTCATTAAATCTCCGGTGATTCTAATTGCTATTTAAATTAATCCTTTAAATAACTTCTCCCTGAATCTTAATTGGACGTTAGAAAAATATAGTGACGGGGCGTATGGATCCTGAGTGGAAGTCAAAACCGTTATCTCAAATTTTCGAACAAAAGGATGAGGTGTAGGACTTAAAAACCAGATTGGATCTGGCCTGTTCCAGCCTTGAACCGATTTTGTTGGTTTTAGCCTCGGAGACATCGCGACAATGTGACGCCTCTTTTAAAGTCAGTTTGTTCCAGTTTATTCACATCATTGCTCCTTTTTTTTTATCCATCTTCATTATCATAATTGTTCAATACCAACATATGGGTAATTACTCTTTCATTACCTATCGTACAGTCAATTAATTAAATTCTCATCGGTAGTTCAAGTCAGTCGTGAAGACTTCAATCAAAAATTTCGAAAATATCAAGTTATTTGGATTTTGGAAAATCTCGAGGTGAAACTTTTTAAACTATGAACTTTATTTTGAAGTTCAATTCTTCAAATGATTTTAAATTTATTTTCATTGATTAGATATTATTTTATCAGTTTAGTAATTAGGTGAAAATACTAAGGAATGAGTTTCTATATTTTATAATTTGATTTTCTTTTTCCAATGTTTTTTTTCTTTTCACTATGGATTGGCTGTCTTTAGTTCACAAGGACATGAATCACGAATAACCGCCGGAAATAATAAATTCGTTTCTCGTCAATAAAGCAATGTTACACCTGTTGATTACACTTTTTACAGCACTCGTGCCCCTATCGTTTTCTTTGAGATTTCTATTTTAAAATCGTATTTCTAGCGGTACCCATTGTCGCTAGTGACAAGAATTGTAATTTTTAATGGAATTAAACAATAAATAAAACACAACTCCACAAAAATATTTCCAGAACCAACAAAAATAATAATCATTACGATAAATTTTATTACAAATTCCTCTTTCAGTCTGTTTGACTCGAGAATTTATGGAATTGTCACGTAACATGTTCACATTGAATATAAACATCTCACCTGTTCAAAAAAATAATTTGACAATACCTTCATGTGCATAGATTATCCATTAGAAATTCAAGCTGACATATTAATGAAAACGCGAGTTCTCGATCATGAAAGATGATCGTAAATTCAGCAGCAGTGGCATAATTGGCGAGCTAGTTATTGATCGATTTATCGCATGTCTGAGCTGTCACTACACCTGTTGTCCTGATTTCAATATTCGCGCCAAAAGAAAAATGTCTGCGACTATTCATCAATTTTATTTGTTAATTTCAAAACCATTTTTTTTTTATGTACAGAAAATGTAACTTAACGCATTAAGATAGCAGTGATTAATGGATGTATCTGCCAAAATCAATTCTGATGATTAATGGTGGATTTTTTTATGGGTCCGGACATCCCACTCACCAGCCCTAGGTGGCAATGACCTTCTCAAAACGAGGAGGTGTTTTGGGACCCATCGATTTCCAGGGCGACGATTGAACTCATTAGTTTCGAATCTAGATAAGCATCGAGGAATGGAATATTCAATCAGGCATGAAAATACCAATGAACCTTTTGAATTCAACGAGTTATTACAGAAAAGGATCATCAAATTGACGTGAACAAGTTTAAATATCATAAATGTTAATATCAAACATAATTAAATAAATTCAAAAGTAAATGTCAGTTAATAAACAATTAATTGCTTTCCCATTTTTTTTCTAATTTCCTGAGGACACACCAAAAGTACAAATTTTTCGTGACGGAATAAAGTGTTTATTTATAAATTTTTTGAGACATGGAGCGCATGAATGCTCATTGTGACAATAAGTTGAGTAATTCGCGAAATTATTGGTATGTAAGACCCGTAATTATGAGGTAGGTGAAGAGTCATCAGACCACTGTTTCTTCCTCAGACTTGCAAGGGCACAAAGCGTCGGACGTTGTGGCACGCGGTGTCGGGGAAAGGGGTCCGAGGGGTCCCAGTGGGTATATATGGGGCCTCATACGCGTCCGGAATACCACAATCGTGATTTTGCCCTACCAGGCAAGGCTGTCTCAAGGGGGAGAGCCTGTCCTGCTTCAATCAACCGTTGACAAAAGACAAAACAAAACATCAAGTGCACACGTCGAGACAATCAAGTGTCGGTCCCATCGGAGTTTACTTTGGGCCCGTTAACTATATTTTTATCGTGTCAAGTGGATTAGTTACGGGACATCTCGAGGGACATTACCCTGAGGTATATTGATTCTGTTTCGAAGAGGTAAAGGGTAACAATTTATTCATCAAATGGATCATCGTTTGGTACCTTAATGAGTCGTTCCAAAATTCGATGAATTCTCGGAATCCAAGGCAGATAGTGAAATTTTCGTTAAAATCTTTTTTGGAGAGTGAGATGAGAGCTACAAAAAAGGGATCGATGAAAATTTCTGTATCTTTGGTAGATTTGGGGATATCTCGAGAAAACTTTGCGGTTAACTGAATCGACTTGGTACAGGAGTAGATTAAACGGCTGACTATAACTCAGAATCTAGAAGAGATAGATGAATTTTACATAAGATCATTTTTATAGAGGGGAATTAAAACCAGAAAAAAGGATTAATGGAAAATTTCGATATTTATCGTAGATTGAGAGAAATTCCCAGAAAACGACTAGGCTAATTTCGACTAGTCTATATTTTGATATTAAAGATAATCGGATTCGTTTCATAATTATGAATTTTTATTTATAAACAAATGCAGACAACTTTCTCAATTTATCTACTTAAATTGAGGGGAAATCAATTGAAAATAAATTCCTATCTCGACAACTGCCTGTGTATCAGAATTTCTCGATTTTATGAGTACCCGTTTGAGAGGAAATGCACCCCGCCATAAACAACCTGAAATCACGGGTTAATTCACTCACTCCACTGTCCCTGCGTGCGTGTTTTCACCTGGACACCTGAACACCCCAGGTCGATGTCCCTCCAAAACAAACAAAACGAATTGAAAGATAAAAAAAGACAAAATCAAATGACCTGCGGAATTCTCCACTTTACAACACATAAATTTGCATTTCACCAATGCCCATTTTTCGACTCAATCCTCTCCACATATTCCAGGATGACGATAACATATTTAGAAAACCACAATAAAGCCCCTGACACTTTCTCCCAGAGGAAAAAAAAATAAAGGAAACAAAAATAAATAAATAAATAAAAATATTCCGTTAAAAATATTTAATTCACTTGAAAGTTCCAAGGGTAATAACTCCACTTTGAATTTTGCTCTCGAGCTTTTTCCTACGACTCCTGGCGTAAATTCTTCGGCATGAGTGACTGTATTTTTTATCCCTCGTTTTATTCTCGAATTGATGAGGAGTTTTTATGCAGGCGATGGTCTGGCCAACGGTGGCCTTGCTGGGTCTATCGACCCTGACGCTGGTCACCTCCTATCGCATGCCAGAGCACCATCTTCAGCCACCAATCGACGTGGACAGTCACTCGTACGTCATTCCTGATAATCAGCCTCATCTCGCCCTCGAGTCCTCCCACATTCCCCTCCGCGATGCCGTGGAGTTCAATCCTCATGGTGATGACAGAAAGAGTCAACGACTGGAGGACATTCCTCAAGACATTCCAAAGAGGTTTGTCTAATTTAATCCAGCAGTTGAAAGGAAATTCAATAATTCCACTGTAAATTGACGCTTAGGATTCCACTGAGGGATGCTGTGGAGCGACGACCTCCTCCTCCTCTGGGAAATCGAGTTGTTAATCACGAGTCTATCTGGTTGGAGCAATTACTTATTCCTGCTGTTCGTCGTAATCAAGGGCCCATCGTTGTCGTCTGCCACTTGGACTCCAGTGCTGTCTACAGGAATGATCCATTCTCTCTGGTCCCACGTGGAATTCCCAGCAGAAGGTGCTCGCACGTTGTTTACAATTCAGCGACTATAGGTATTTCCGATAATTTTACCTGAATTTTACACTGTAATGTTGTCCTGCACTTGTTCCATGCATTAGATGAATTTTTTAATGGAATTGTTTAAGATCCTGAGAAACTCGTCGTTGTACCTCAGGACCCAGAGTACGACGAGATCAAAGGTAATAATAATATCTGGTAATTATTATTTTTTTATAATTTCAGGATGAAATCATTCAGTAAATTTTCCTTTTCTCAAAAAAAAATTAATAATAACTACAAAAAGACTTCAATAAAAAATAAACAAATCAATAAATAATAGGTGGTTACAAAGCAGCGGTGGGTCTCCGTGGAAGGGACCCATCACTTCGGGTCCTCATCTCGATAGTCTCACCAGGTACAGGAGGACTTTACACAGACTTAGCGAGCGATTCAAATCGCACAGATATTTTCCTGGGATCCGTTCTCTCATTCCTCCAGAAGCACCACTTCGATGGTATCGAGATAAACTGGGCCCACGCCCCAAATAACCGTCTTAAGTCCCTCCTAAGGGCCCTGTACTCCCCCCTGAAGTCCCAGGGGTACACCCTGGCCCTCGTGGTCCGACCGGAAGACGAAGTAGATCCGGAACTCGCTGATCAGGCAGATCTGCTATTTTTTCAGGTTCATATTCTCGATACACATAATTAATTTATTAATTACAAAAAAGTTACGCGTTGTCAATGCAAATGTTTATACGAATTTATTTGAATTTCCAAAAACGGGCATTTCTGGAAAAAAATGTCAAACAAAATCTAACAATCGAATAATAATCTTCAATATCAATTTTATTTTTTATGTTATTTGTTTATAATTTTGCGGTTTTAGGCGTGGAAACACACCCCACAGAAATTAGCTCTCCACCCTGCGCCACTTTCTTTCGCCACAAATTTAATTGGGACTTGGTTAAAACGTGGGACTAATCCCCGAAAGATAATCCTAGGAATCCCGACATTCGGCAGGAGTTACACCCTGAAATACAGAAATGACACAAATGCAGGGGCTCCAGTGGTGGGTCCAGGTATTCCTGGCCGTCACACAAATTTCCCAGGGGTCTGGTCTTATTACGAAGCATGCGGCATGATCGAAGAGCAGTGGTACGCAGGAAGAGATGCCGAAGGGTCCTACATAAAAAGAGGTGACCAGTGGGTGGGGTACGAGGATCCCATCTCCGTGAAACTCAAGACAGCGTACATCAAGCAGATGGGCCTGGGGGGTGTGGACCTGTCCACTCTGGATCTAGATGATTTTGTGGGCATCTGCGGGGACCCATGGCCCATGCTGACTACCGCCACTACTAGCCTGGGCCTCTACGATGTTCCCATCGGGAGGTGCACCCTCGATGGAGTCACCGGCGACCCCGACAACTGCTCAGGATTCCTCATCTGTGATAAGGGGAGTCTCTACAAGGGCTCCTGCGGAATCGGTAGATTCTTCAATGCCATCACCACCACTTGCTCCAGGGCAGATCCTGCTTTGTGCAATCCCGGGTATTTTCACACTGAGAGAAATCTACATGGTAAATTTAATTGGGAATTGGTGGAATTGGTGGATAATTTTTGATTTGACAATTTGTTCAGCAATTCTTTCAATAATTTGATCAATATTTTTTCGCAGTGCAGGGATTTCCAGTTGGGTACAGGATCCTTTCGAACTTGAAGGAGAAGCAGCAGAGGCAGAAGCTCCAGATGAGCCATAAAGGCCCGAGGGTTGTCTGCTACGTCACCTCGTGGTCCCTCTACAGAAAGGGCGAGGGGAAATTTGTCCCTGAACACCTGGACCCCAGACTCTGCACTGACGTTATCTACGCTTTTTCAGGGCTCAATCCAGATAATCTCATGATTCAGCCGTTCGATCCTTGGGCTGATATTGATAATAATCTCTATGGGAGGATCACCTCGGTGGAGGGGCCCAGAGTTCTCCTGGCACTCGGGGGATGGACTGACAGCACTGGAGACAAATATTCCAAACTCGTCGGAAGCCCTTCGTCTCGACAGAGATTCATTGCCACGACTGTTAATTATTTACACATGAATAATTTCGATGGACTATCACTCGAGTGGAATTACCCCAAATGCTGGCAGAGTGACTGCAAAAAAGGCCCCGATTCCGATAAAATGAACTTTGCAAAACTAGTGCAAGAGATCAGAAATGCATTTAATGAGGCGAATCCTCCGTTGACACTCGCTGTCGCTCTGTCAGGGTATAAGGAGGTCATCGACAGGGCTTATGACGTAGCTGAGATTTCTCTGGCTGCGGACTTTATCTCGGTGATGACTTACGATTATCATGGGGCCTGGGAGTCCAAGACTGGACATCTCGCGCCTCTTTATGAGCGCTGGGGCGATGATAATCCTTATTACAATATTGTGAGTGTTTTTATGTTGATATTGAGGGGAAGGCGATAAAATCGGAATTTTGAGTGAGAATTTTGTTCCCAGAATTTTACCATGAATTATCTCCTGAGTCTTGGGGCCCAGAGGGAGAAACTGGTACCTGGAGTGGCTTTCTATGGACAAGCTTATCGTCTAGCTTCGGCGTTCCAGCATAAATTAGGGGATCCGGCTAGTGGCCCCGGGACTCCTGGTGAATTCACCAAACAGCCTGGAATGCTGGCTTACTACGAGATCTGTGATAATATCAATAATCGTAAATGGGAAATCGGAGATGGTCCAAGTGCTCATTATAAGGAGCAATTTGTAGCTTTCGATGATGCGAAGAGTGTTTTTCGAAAGGGCTCTTGGATTTTGGAGAATGGATTTGCTGGAGCTACGGCGTGGACTGTCGATCTCGATGACTTCACTAATCGCTGTTGCCAGGAGTCATTCCCACTCCTGCGAAGTCTCAATCGAGCACTGGGTATGAATTATTTTTACGTAATAATTTTTACATGGAAACAATGCATTAATTTTGTTAATAAATACTAGACAATTCTTTAAATAATATGTTCACATAATTCCGATCAATAATAAGTCTATCACTATTAGTGAGTAATTAATTAATGGAGGTGGAATTTATTTTTATTCGGTCTTGCGTGATTTGAAATGTAGGACGTCTTCTGGATCCTGCCCCGACTGGAAGAAATTGCGAACGCCCGTCAGAACCATTCACCCCTCAACCGCCCACCATGACAACTCATAGTGATGCAAACGACGGGGGTCCGCGACCCACCCACTCCATGACCACCTCGAGCACGAGCAAATCGACGACATGGCCCACTTGGACGGAGAGACCTAGTAAAAAACCCATGACCACCACCACCTGGCCTACCTGGACCTGGAGCACTGCTGGAACCACTACTACAACCGTCAGGTGATTATCATAATCCGAAATTCGACGCAACTACTGTTATTCTAATAATTATTTAAGATAAAAAATTCTAGAACTTTGTTGATTAAATATTGTTGAATCAGACTCAAATGACTGGAAATTTTCCTCATCTTTAAGAATTTTATTATCATCTACCACTTGAATTACCATAAACGCATCAATTATTCCTGAAAAAAATAATCAATTCGTTCAAGCAGAGCACCGACTAGATGGACAACAACTACAACGAAGAAACCCGTCGAAACCGAGGAGTCACCGGTACCAGGTACCCCATGTAGCGCCGGTGAATACGTTCCAGACCCCAATAACTGTGGGAATTACCTTCGCTGTGTCCTCGGGGAATTTCGCCGTGAGTTTTGCACACCGGGTCTCCACTGGGATGACAAAAGAGGACGTTGTGATTGGCCGGCAGCTGCTAAATGCCAACAAGTCACTGGTAATTAATTAGCTAGTTTTAATATCAAAGCGATAGCCTCACAGTTTTTTCCGTGATAGGCATGGAAATATTCAATAAAAAAATCCGGTATTTTTTATTAAAATTTTCATCAACTCTTGAATTCTACGAAATCCCTCGTGGTTCTATCGAATTCTCATTAGAATTCAAATCAATTAATATCTCTATAAATAACAAAAATCGTGAAATTCCCGTCATTTATTTTTTTATAGTTTATTTATAATTTTATTATTTCTCGCAAGTAAATCGATGAGAGTTAATTTTGACGAGACTAAATATTTTTCTCAGTGATATAATCTTGGGATTTTTCGGTGGTATTAATTAATACAGTGTTGATTGAGTGGTGCTCATTAACTCGAGAACCTGTTTACATATTCAAGAGGTATTGGATGCATCCTTGGGCGAAGAAGTCACGCCTGGTATTTAATTTCATTTCGTATTGACGACAGACAGTCGTACGTGTTCTCGGTGTGAACCTGTTGAAAATATCATTGAGAAGTTCTAGTCGGTGTAATGTACCGTTTCCATAGTCTCGTTCTATTTTTTTTTCACAGTTGTTTAGCATTTCAACAGTTTTCCTCCATAACGGGGTATAAACGTGTAATTAAAAAAGGTAAAAACCCTCCGCATACTTTTCCATTTCCACAGTCGACTAGAATTATTTAATTGCCAGATTACCATCAGGTGTTTCGATTTATGAAAATGTAATAGTTCAATTAGATCGATTTCAATAATTGTTTTTAGAGTGCTTTTTAATAGATCGAATGGGAATTTTGGATTTGAGGGATACAGTATTTTATTTTAAACAATTGCAGCAAGTGTTGGCACCCAGAAACCGATTTCGACGTGGATACCATCTACGAGGCCACAATCACGCCCTACGAGACCCACAACGCCGAAACCCATTGATGGGCCGGTGGTAGGGCCCAAAGACTGCGAGCATGGACAGTACTACGCATACCCGGAGTCCTGCACTCATTTTCTCATTTGTGTGAACAATAATCTCGTTCTTCAGCAATGTGGTCCCGGTTTAAATTGGAATGATAAGAAAAGCATGTGCGATTGGGCTTTCAAAAATCCCTGCAACGACAAACCAAATAAAAATTCGCCACTAGTTATGAAAGATAAGACGAGAAATGTAAGGAAATTGTTTATTTAGTCGTCTCATTATTTTATAATTTTAGAATCCATAAAAAAATTAATAATAATGACCTCACCCTAACAATATATTTCTCTTTCAGGAGCCGTGCATCCCCGGAAGTTTCAGTGAAGTCCCAGAGGATTGTGCGAGCTACCACGCCTGCCTGTGGGGTCGTCACGAGAAATTCTCGTGCGCCCCAGGTCTCCACTTCAACAAACAAACTCACATCTGCGATTGGCCAGCACGTGCCAAGTGCAAAGCAGAATCAGAAAAACCACCAGTCGAGCCCTTTAATTACATAACAACCAGTCGGCCTGTGAAACCCACGAAGAATCCGATTACCACAACAACTCAAAACTGGAACGAGCCCTGGACTGAGAAACCCAAGCCGCTGCCACCTCCTCTGATCAATCCCTCGAAGGTTTCTCCACTGTCCGGACACTTCAAAGTTGTCTGTTACTTCACGAATTGGGCCTGGTACCGGACAGGAGTGGGCAAGTACCTCCCTGAGAACATCGATCACACTCTCTGCACCCACATCGTCTATGGATTTGCTGTGCTCGATTACTCCGAGCTCACCATCAGGGCTCACGACTCCTGGGCTGATTTCGATAACAGGTTTTTTCATATTTTTGTTTAACTTTCATTTATAACTATTTTTACAGTGTATACAAGGTACGTTCCTCTTTTGATAACAGATTCTACGATAGAGTTGTTGTTTATAAACAAAGGGGCCTGAAGGTGTTGCTGGCACTGGGAGGCTGGAACGACTCGGCCGGGGACAAGTACAGTAGATTAGTCAATTCTCCAGCTGCCAGAAGTAAATTCATTGATCACGCTGTCAAATTCATCGAGAAATACAATTTCGATGGGCTCGACATGGATTGGGAGTACCCAGTCTGCTGGCAGGTGCGTCAAAATTGTTATTAATCATCCCTATTTATTTATAAAATATTTATGTTAAGACTTTGACATTCTCCAGGTGGAATGCAATAAAGGGCCGGCTTCTGACAAGGAAGGCTTTGCGGCTCTTCTACGAGAACTCAGCGCTCAATTGAAACCTAGAGGACTTCTCCTGTCATCAGCTGTATCTCCAAATAAATTGGTGATTGATAAGGGGTATGATGTGCCCACCCTGGCAAAATACCTGGACTGGATTGCAGTTATGACTTACGATTATCATGGACAGTGGGACAAGAAAACTGGACATGTAGCTCCACTCTATCATCACGAAGCCGACGACGCTTATTTCTTCAATGCTAATTATTCGATTAATTATTGGATTTCCAAGGGAGCACCACCGAGGAGTATTGTGATGGGTAAAATTATGATATTAATGATGTTTATTATTTTATTATTACATTTCCATTACTTGTAATCATTTAAATTGATTAATAAATAATTAGTTCATTTGAGATTTAATTTTCTCTCGTAGGAATGCCATTGTACGGTCAAGCCTTCTCGATAAACGATCCGAGTGCAGGAATGGGCCTGAATTCTCCAGCGAGTGGTGGAACCGCGGGGGAGTTTACGAAAGCCTCGGGCTTCCTGGCATACTACGAGATCTGCGACAGGATAAGGAATCACGGTTGGAAGGTGTACCAGGACCCACAAAGGCGAATGGGGCCTTACGCGTACAAGGGGAACCAGTGGGTGAGTTTCGACGATGCAGACATGATACGTCAGAAGTCTCAGTACATCAGGGATATGGGTCTGGGGGGTGGAATGGTGTGGGCACTGGATCTCGATGACTTCAGGGGTAGGTGCGGCCAGGGTGAGCATCCCCTGATGCACACTATCCAGCAGGTGCTTGCTGAACCACCGACTAGTCATGACAGGCCCATCAGACCTCCTGCATTTGGTGAGAGTCTCGAGTGGCTGCCCTCATCTCCCCAGAAGATGCCCATTCACCACCAGAATTTCCACAAGGGTCAAGACGAGTTCAAGGTCGTCTGCTATTTTACTAATTGGGCCTGGTACAGACAGGAGGGGGGCAAGTACCTTCCGGAGGATATCGATGCGGATTTGTGCACTCATGTGATTTATGCATTTGCTGTTCTCGATGGGTCCACAGGAACCATCAAACCTCATGACTCATGGGCGGATATCGATAATAGTACGTATTCGTGGGCCGATTAATTTTTTGGGGTAATGAATTTTAATTCAATGATCGGTATTTTTTTTTTTAGAATTTTATGAACGAGTGGTTGCGTATAAAGCGAAGGGAGTCAAAGTATTAATAGGAATCGGTGGCTGGAATGACTCGGCTGGTGATAAATACAGCCGACTCGTGAATTCTCCATCGGCGAGGGCGAGATTTATCTCTCATGTCATTCAATTCATCGAGAAGTATGGGTTTGAGGGACTGGATTTGGATTGGGAGTATCCAGTTTGCTGGCAGGTACTAGAATAGAATTTTCTTATTCTAATTTACCAGCAAAAATTTACAAATTATTCTCAACTGTTTTGAGTCTAAAATTGTACCGATGTAATATACGATTTAATCTGAAATTTAATTCAAAGAAATTCAACAGAAAATATCTCATTTTAATTTTCATAATGGATTGGTGAAATTAATTTACAGGTGGATTGTTCGAAAGGTCCACCTTCAGACAAAGAAAGTTTCACATCATTCGTTCGAGAGCTCAGTGATGCCTTCAAACCCAAGGGTTTGTTACTCTCCACGGCAGTATCCCCTAGTAAACGTGTCATCGACGCTGGTTACGACGTATCCGAATTATCCAAATACTTCGACTGGATTTCCGTGATGACTTACGACTTCCACGGCCAGTGGGACAAAAAAACCGGTCACGTAGCACCACTTTACGTGCGGAGCGACGACTGGGAGCGAACATTCAACGCCAACTTCTCCATTAATTACTGGATAGAGAAGGGAGCATCACCCAGGAAAATCGTCATGGGAGCACCACTTTATGGTCAATCATTCAGTCTAGCCGAGAGGAGTCAGAGGGGACTGAATGCTCCCACTTATGGTGGAGGCGAGGCTGGGGAATCCACCAGAGCTAGAGGATTCCTCGCGTACTACGAGGTAAGTTGATTAGCTTTTTCTAGAGATGGAATCCGAAGAAAAAGAAGATCTAATGAAAGAATTTATATTTGCAAATTCTTCCTTTATATTACCAATAATTTTAGATCTGCGAGAGAACCTTGAAGAGAGGATGGACAGTGATTCAGGACCCCGATAGAAGAATTGGGCCTTACGCGTATTCTGGGGACCAGTGGGTGAGTTTTGATGATGCAGAGCAGATCAGGCTAAAAGCAGAGTTCATAAAAAAAATGGGTCTGGGGGGAGGAATGGTCTGGGCCCTGGACTTGGATGATTTTAAAAATCGTTGTGGATGTGAGCCAAGTCCTCTTCTCCGAACCATGAATCGAGTCCTGAGGAATTATCCTCCTGGACCCACGTGCCCTATCAGCCTCCCAGAGGCTCCAACTCAGTCCACTGTCTCCCCAGTGACTCTGGAAAATTGGCCAGGGTCTACCTCACCCTCTTCGTCCTCAACAATCGACACAGAAGACACTATCGAGATCGAGGCAGGTCCACCACCACCTGCTGCCATCCCCATTGGCGAGTGCCAGGGGAGGCTCTTCATACCCCACAAATCAGATTGCTCGAAATATCTCATCTGCAATTTTGGACAGATCCAGGAGTTGTCGTGCCCCAGTGGTCTCCACTGGAACAGCGATCGTTGTGACTGGCCTGAGAACAGCAAGTGTAAGAAAAATCTGCAGCTGGTGAACTCCATCGAGTCGAATAATTATTTGAGATGAGTCTGTGGAGTCTCCCCTTTATTTTTATCCTTCGATACTCTTCCGGTTGACATGACTCGCTAGAGCAGCTTTAATTCTGGAGTTATTAACTGAATTTGCAGTTTGCAATTTCCCGATTTTATTATTAATTAAAATTCGGCAATCCTGCAAAACCAATTTTTACTTTAAAAAAATTGTAATGCGTTTTAAAAAATGACGTTCATAAATTCTTTTTGCTTGCATAATTCATTTTCTCATTAACTTCGAAAATGATTAATTATTAAAAAAGGTTTATAATACTAAATATTAGAGCTGCTTTAAAAATTCTTCACAAATGTTATGTCACCTGCGAAGACAATGAAAAATTGCCAATGTATCTCTTCCACAACGATCAACTGAATAAAGCATCGTGATTTTTATACATAAATTCCACATTGACGACTCCCCTGTTTATTTAAACCAAAGCTTATTTATTGCTGCGTAAACTTGATATTTTACATTACAAAGTTGTAATAACATTGATCTTATGTGTAACACCTAGTCTACCCGATAATTTACAAGTGTTTCGAAAAATGTGTGTAAATTCGACGAAATCGGAATGTTAGTGGGTAAAAAAGTGGGAAAGAAAATAATTCATGCGTCAGATCTCGAGTTATCGAGTTCCATTCGTTATTATACGTAAATCAAAGTGTCAATGTACAAAGCCGAGTTATTCAAAACATTAACTCTTCCTCACTGTTACATAATTTTTTATGATTTTTCGTGGTTTTTAAATATTTTAGATTCTCTTTTCTCAAATCGTTGATTATTCTCCGGAGAATAAATCCTGCAACAAAAAACAAAATATAAAAATACATTACCGTAATTATTGGAACTGATATCAACTTCAGAAATTTTTTGAACCCTCAATGGAACGTAAATACAATCTCAACAGCCGAAAAATCAACCGGAAATTTCAGTCAAAAATTTGCAACAGTGTCAAAATTTCCTATCGTTCTACTTTTGAAAATGTCATTTTACATTCTTCCCTCGTTCCTCGAATAAGTCCTACGGTTTTGGCACTTCGACGGATTTTCAATTTAATTGCACCAGTACTTACTCCGAAAGAAAAAAAAGACGTAATCTTTTGGATGCAATTTCTACTTGTGCAAATTCACTCAGTTAATCTACATCTCGTTATATAATACACGTTTTACCGTTAATAGATGAGTTTACTTAAACGTTTCGTATTCACCGAATTGTTATATAATTTTTCAAGGCCTAACGAGACTCGTGAGGATCTCGCGACAAAAGCAATGATCTGTGAGAAATGGGCTTTAGCAAATCGTTTTAGCGTGGTAAAGCGATGCAAAGCTGCGGACAAAAGTCAGCGCTAATGTTCGAAATATTAAAATAATCATTTCCACCCCGAATTTAACTCAGTTAACTTTTGAATCGGATCCAGAGTGAGACACGAGAGGCCTTGACTCACTGTGAGGAAGCTCGTTGATTAAAAAAACATTCTCTCATCATCAAATCACGAGAGCTATTACCAATCTACCGCGTAAATAAAAAATACGATTTTTCCATCACGAATTACGAATGACATTTTATTGTTAATTTCTCTTTATTACAGGACAGGATTTATTTACGTATTTTTAATTTCAAGGCGAGTTTTCCTATAGGATACTCTCATGTTATAATTGATTTTTATTTTATATCCATGTCTCGTGTATAAACGTATTAATCTAATGCTTGAAAATAACTGAATCTTACTATATTACAGGCCACTATGAATCAACTATCGAATACTTTTCGTTGGAATGGCTGGCACAGACTCCCCGAACACCCAGAGCTGTGATAATAGTGCTTGTATTACATTATTCTACCTCTAAGCTCGTTTCTCCTTGACTCAAAAATATTACCTCATGATTTGGTTAAAAAGAAACCTTTATTTTCAACTTTCATCCACGTATGAAAAACATTCACAGAAATATCGCTTTCTAAAAAAAAAAAAAGAATTTTCTTGCAATTCTACTTCTTCCCCATTCTATTTTAAAACTTCTTGAAATGTTCCCCTCAAATTTCCTCAGCTTATTTTTTCATTTGGTTTATTTATTTATTTTTATTTATTGAGAAAACCAAATTATTTCTACAAAATGATTTCATACGTGACTTTCAACAATTTTCGAGAGAATCAAAAGGAATCTCTCAAACAAGACCAAAGTCTGTGTGCACGGTAACATCTCGATTATTGGGTTTCTCAGCAGCTGCCATATTGACCTCAACGAGTGTATCAACACTGTTGATGGGACAGCCCTTGAGTATTTTCTGTGCAGCAAGACTTGTGAACTGGACTTGCATGTCACTGAGACTGGGATAGGAGTAGAGATCCCCTCGACTGACAGTTTTTTCGAGATTGGGCTCGGAGCCCTGAGGGGCCCTGTGGCTCTTGCTCTCTAGATTCTCAATATAGACATTGTTAAAAGATCCCCCAAACCCATCAAAAGACTTTGTCGGTGAAGGTGGATTCGAGGCGATATTGTTCTTCGATCCTGGACGGAGTAGATTTCGATAGCTCAGTGCATCCTTCGATAGAGAAAGACTGAGCTTTCGTGAATTATTCATTGCATCATTCGTATTTTTTGTGGTGGGAACTGATACCGATGTATTATCGTTGGAATTCCTGTCCATGTTATTGGCAGAGCCCTCGATCAAGTGGGCCTGACTGTTATTCAGGCGATTGGTTAGTTTGAGTTTATTGGGCCCATCATCCTCAGCCTTTGGTTTGTTCTCTTTATCGGACTCGGATTTTTGATCCTTAGTTGTGTAGAGGGACGACGGTCTCTCGAGTTTTATCGGCTTCCAATCCTCATCGACCTTACGATTTTTCTCATCATCTGTTTTGGAGTTGACAAGCTTCTCCTTCTCCAGCATTGCCTTCTGCACTTTTTCACTGACCAACTCTTGTTTTTCCTTGTTACTGGGACAAGTGTCCTTCTCAGTTATATTCTTGGCTGTACCGTTTTCGAATGTTATAACAGATCGCATCGGCGAGTTGTTTTGGTGAACGTAGATTTTAGTTCCTGGTGAGCCTGAAATGGTGGTGGTACTTGATGCATTCGAGGCGAGGGTTACGCTGCTGGAGATGGCACGTTCCTGGGGTGGACTCACTGGAGAGAGATTCGTGGATACCTGAAGAGTTATCGAATTCTGCGCCTCCTGCAGAGGCGTCAGGGTACCCTGCTGCAGAATCTTCAAAGGGGATGACTTGGAGGTGATTGTCGATGTCTTCAGGGGAGAGCACGACAGCTTTCCACTCGACGCTGATTTTCCACTCGAGTGCGTTGATTGACTCGAAGACGTCTTCTGCAGGATCTGCAATCATTCAATTTATTAATTAAATAAAAATCCATTAATTACTCATTACCAGGATAATTAAAATGATTACAACATACTTTATGCTGTGGAGAGCTGTTGGAGGATTTGGTACCACTTCCAGTGGAATCATGACTGGGCCTTCTCGAGCTGTGCCTCGTACTCGATCTTCCAAGTGTTCCTGTCTTAGCCGGACTTCCGTTAGTGGCTCTAACGGATCCCGAACTACCGCCACTTCTGCTTGGCGATGAGTTGCTCGAGTGTTTACCATTCTGGTTCTGTACCCTGGCCTGATAAGGATCCTGGCTTGTACTCGATGGCAATACAGACGCCCTGGAGGTGCATCGGCTCAAACTCGAGCATTTGGAGCGGGGCAGGGTGGAGCACGGTGAACGATGTCGTCTTGAGCTGCGTGGAGTTGAATTTGCCAAGAGACTCGTTGAATCACCACTTGGTTGACGTCTGTGACGACGAGGGAGAGTCGCTGAACGCACTGAACTCGAGTCATCCCACACTTGGAAACTAGCTTGCGACTGGTCCAGTCCCTCCATCATCTTATCAATTAATTATCAGATTTCATTAGCTCTAGCATTAATATTCATTTTTATGGAATGACCAGAATAACTTGGAAGCAGTAAAACGTTCAAAATCCATTCATCCACAGAATTGACTGCATTTAAACTACATTTAAGCAAGAGGTTTGCAAAAAATGCCGCCAGCATTCTCCAAGAAAATGAGTGAACGAAAAAAACTAACCGACGGGCTGGCAGCCCTCGTCTGAGTTGCAACGCTGTGAAGATGAACGACTCTGGGATTGAACCACTCAGTAGGCGGATACTGTGCACTGAAAGTACCCATCAACGGTGTACCCTTCCTCCTGGTGCTGCGCCGAAACAGCCTCGATAGTAGGCCTATCTTCTCTGAAAATATTCCAGACAGACCTTTTTTTTTCAATAACACAATAGCAACTTGATGGATGGATCATCTAACAGCTGAGGAACGGGGAATGGATTGGCCAGCTATCGAGGGGTGACTAAAAAGCTTCTCCCGAGTCTAATACCGATGTGATTATTCAGATTGTGGGATTTATTTTCAGCCTGCTAAGCACAATGTGTTAAATAGGCGTTTTATGTTAATTAATCAGCCGTCACCCATGTTTGTGTTAATGGTACAAGCCATTCCCCGTTGGGGTAACTCACTAGTGGGACTGTGAGGCGCACTGTCTGTACTGGCATACTCGGCGCTTGATGATGTGTCACTTCTGTCCGGTCTTCTGGGTAATGAACGGGAACTTCCGCTTCTGTGCAATCTCCGGGCTGAACCCCAGAGTCGAAGAGAGTGCCGCCTCTCCAAACGTCCTGGCACCGATCTGCATCGAGCGAACAGAACTTTGTCGTTCGGATTACCTAAATCATATCACAATTATTATTTTTTTATATTTTAGTTATTTCTGGTTCATTTCATGGACCGATTTTCACTTCGATCATATCGCATTGTACCCCAGGAGGTGTATCCACACGTACAGACTCACCTGGTGATCAGGGGAAATCATTTTAACACTTCCCGATGATTCTTCGTGAATATCTCGGAAGTGACGAGAGATGGAAGAATTTTCATAAATATCTTTTCTCTAGAGCAATATGTGGTCTAGAAAATAGATTTTAACAAAAATTTTGCTATCTCGTCTCATTCAGGAGATATGCATCGATAATTGGATCGAAGTCAAATGCACTTATCCAAATCGACTGGGGTAGCGTAAAAGTGGTGTTAAAATTTGATTCAAGTGTTATCACATCCAACGATAAAGAGTGCTCACGATCTTCAGTGAGTAGAGGATGGAATAATCGTGAGAACGGAAATTCTGAAGAATAGGTGGAGACAACTCCGTGACAGTTGATCCTTGGCCCGGCGTGTCACTCTGTCATGTTGGATTAACGGTAGAGGCTGTCGTGACCAATAGCTAATATATCGGTTCGACTAAACGTTTTCGTGGGTAGAACATCGACACGAGGTGACTCGTTGTCTCAGACATCCCGAGGGGACAGCAGCCGGTCTCCAATTCCCCCAGTGAATGCAAATCATCGACTCATGCTCCTCCATTTGTCATCTAAATTTTTTTCCCCCAGTGGATTTATACCCCGATGTCCAGGGGATTCGCGACAAGTGCGGTCATACGGTCACCAGTGAATAACCGTTACACCAGTGACAAAAGGGCGCACGTTCGAGGGTCCCTACGTGAAACTCGAGGACGATAAAATAAAAACAAAAATTTAAAAGAAAGAAACAGATGGAAAAAATTGTTTGATCGTTTCCCGGGGTTGTCGACCGCATTCCACGGGGTCTTTATCCTCTCAAGGATTTTCCCTCCATTTTTTTTTTATCCCCAAGAATTTATCCCCCAGTTTTTAAAGGCCGCCTACGCATTGAATGCAATAATTTTCAGTGGTCGATTGTAGAAACAAGTGTGCTATAAATTGTCAATTTTTATGAAACATGAAAATGTTGTTAAAGAACGAAGACAGGGAGTATTGGCATCGCGAGAATGGGGCGTGGGTTTATTACTGGTGTGAGTCATGGGGATTTTAACTGGAATGGGATACCACGGGAGCAAATGGTAGACAGCTTCCCAATCGTAACAGCGCATGGTGGAATCTCCAAGGACAGCAACACCATAAACGTGAATATCGCGTGTCTCAGGGAGGAAACACTCTCGTTTTAAAACATGTGTGATCCACTCGTGACATTCCTGGCGCCGATATTCGGCTTTACCCCTTCACCTTCTGCATTTCATCCCGTAAAATTCCATTATTCAATTTGTTTGAATAATTATTCACGTTGAAATAACAACAATGAAGATAAACTTGAATGTTAAATTCACAAAACCATTATTGAACTGATAATATCCGATAATCTGTTGAATTGTTATTAAATAAAATAATTCTACCACCGTTATCGTTATTTTTAATCTATCAACAGTTAATCTGTCTAATTACCTCCACAAATGACGTCAGCGAGATTAGTCTGTACAGCTTGATGCGTCACGTTTCCGTCCCTGAGGGTGAGCATCTCCCCGTGAACGAGTGCCATCGCCTCATCATTGCTCATCAGCATCCCACCCTGTCCCCGGCAACTCCCCACATCTCGTGAATTTCGCCTCGAACCACCAGAGTCCCGTCTCAGTCGTCTTGTCTCCGGTGTTACGACAAAATACCCCTGGGACGTGTGGTAAATCTTTCTCTCCTGCATCAACTTGGCTAGTGCATCGTAAACCAAATCACGACCCGGTCGCTGCATCGTGGGGAAGGCATTCCTCAGGGCTGATCTCAGGGTATCCAGGGTAGCTGCTTGTCGTTGGGATGTTAATTCCAGGATTGCCCAGCACAGAGCCTCCGGCAGGGGAGTGAACTGACCCTGAGAGACTGGAGCCACCAGGCAATCTTCAATGTCACCTGAAACACAAAATAAATTCATGAATTAACTTTAATCTCAATTATCACTTGCAGGAATCAGATATTCTTAATCCTTTGGGCTGAATTTTTATTTTGATAGATCAATTATTAAAGATGAATCATCACTTTTGGTCAACTAGGATTCGGTTTGAGGTAATTATTCACACCTAGACCATTACGTATTTACGATCAAGATTCCATTCTTTCTTATCGATCATCATTTTAATAAGTCAATTACATTTCAAATCGTCGATTGAGGAAACACGTGTCGAAATAAAGATACAGTTGGAGCGATTGTCGGCCAGTATCAACGTCTTCATCACTGCCTAAATACTTCAATCAAAATTATAACATATCTCACAGTGACTGTATTACGCCCTGAGGTATATCAGCTGTCACCTTTCTAATCTTGTATATCCGAGTCTCGAATTTCGCGTTCAATACATCTCTCACTCCTTTCGTCACAATGTCGAACGGTAACTGTCTCTATGTTTATGCATTAAATGTTGGCATGGGGTGTAAGACTATCGTTATTTTATTTTAAATAGTATAACACGAGACTAGAGACGTGGATCGAGTTACCTGGGGACTTTGTACGACATGGGGCACCTAAACACAACGAACACTCCACCTCAGGGCAAAATACAAACGTGTACACAACGAGAATGTGAAGGTATTCTGTGCATCAACAATCCCGCCAATACATTCCCTGCATCTCATTTTTTATTCAACACCTCTCCATTTTTTTCATGCTATGTACATTTTTTTTTTTACTTGTTTTTTATTTCACCTTCACCGAAATTTAAACGACTCAGCGAGTCTTGGCACAAATGCATTTTTTTTCAGACCGCATTGAGAAAAGAAATTACGTCTACTAAATTTATTTATTTCAGTCATGCAAATTCACTGGATACATGCGAATATTTGCATGTGAAATGTGGGGATTTTATTTTCAGACACTAAATTTCAAATTGAACTCCAACTCGTGCAATAAAAAATTCACGTACGACTGGAATTTCAAGAAATTCACAAGTCCAAATTACCAGTCCAAAATTCCATGGAAAATATTACAAATAATATTCTCTGGAGTGAGTGATAAATTTCCATCTGTGTAAATCTCATTGTCAAAGCGGATGCCGCAATTCACACGCCATAAATTGTCGTCCATAATAATTAATTGAGATGTATACCATGAAGAGTGGCCTGAGAAGATAATTTTTTCAACTCTTCAATTCTACATAATATAAAAATATAAATTTTTTAATCTCTTGTTTCCTCGGAGGCCGGCAAGTGGTCGTTCTGAGAAAAGCCAACACTCGATGGCTCTTCTGTACATTCTCTCTCTCTTAGGAGCGTAATTGCATGCGTGTAGTTTTATTTTAAAATGGGTGAGACATACTGTTTGTGTCTCTCACGCATACCGGTGGAGGTATTTGCTACGGGCAAATTTATACCGGGTTTTCACCCTCGATGGAACGCCGTTGCGGATAATAAAGCCCGATTTGATCGATTTCTTCATTTCGATAGAATCGACTGAATCTTTACTGCCTCATTAGATCTCTATCTCAAATATTCGTTCTCCGTTCTTCGAGATCTTCAATGGTGTACGTTTTAATATTTTTTACAGGAATAATTATATTAAAATAGCTTGTCACAAAATAATTAGATGTTTTTAGTATTGATTTTAGTTTTTCCTCTCTGGTTTGGAGGAATAATCATTAATTAATTATTAAGAATTGAAATTAGTGGCGGTCGCGTGGGAAAGATTCGTTGAGAGTTGTATTGGCTGCGGAAGATTATCCTGAGTCTCATTTTTTTTCTCATTATCTGTCAGGTCACGGTTTTGGCAGGACGTAATGCTATCAGACCAGTGGGGGAATAGTATGGATTTATTCCTGCCTGGCTGCCTCTCAAAATTCCTGGGGTTCAACCCAAAAGTTCGCACGTGAACCGAATAAATTTTCTCTCGTAAACGGAAAATATCTGAATAATTCTGAAATATTCGCGCATCTTGAAATAGAAAAAAATAATTGAAGGAAAAAAATTTCCACTTCTCTAAAAAATTTTTTGATTTCGTCATCAATTTCGGGAATCGTCAGTCCAGAATTCCGGGAAAAATTTGAATTGTTAATTCTTTTTTGCTCGGATTTTTGTCATTTTAATATTTTCATTGAAAAATTGCGGGAAAATAAAGTGACGGATAAATGTGCTCATCACTCTGGAACAGAACACCCACTGCCTGTTGGTTTATCTCGATCTGGTGTACACCTAGACATCATTATCGACGACCACGAGCATCCAATATTCATGTCCAACAGTCATGTTACCCCGTGGAGGTAAATCTAATCACGTACTTGGGGGATGTTACATTAGCGTTTGCAATATCTCCCCACCGCGAATTATGCGTTTCGAATTTATAATGAATTTCACAGAGGGGGCAATTAAGTGGGATTAGTGAATCTGAGAATTATCGACGCGCCATCGAAATTCGAATAAAACATTCAATAAATATATTGTATTTTACAATAGCAATAATCAATTTTTGCGCGATTACTCCGTGAAAATTCTGAGATAATTCCATTAAATATTAATTTCATTAATTAATTTATTTCATAATTATAAAGTTCAATGAAATTTCCCAGAAGTTATTTTAGTCCAAAAATAATTAGAAGATTATAATAATTATAATTTAATAACCGAATTAAATAATTTCACGAGACGTCACGAGAAAAAAAGATAATTATTAATTGACATAATTCACATGTTATTAACAAAATAATAACAATAAATTCTCGGCTTTAATGAGAGAAGGTATAATTATAAAGATTTATCCTGAAAATTGGGAGAAACCATGAGAATCGAGGTGAACACACCATTAAATTAACAACCAATTGAAAATTCAATATAATTCAGAACTGAATGGGGCTGATGTTGCATTAACATTTGCATTATCACCGCAGCGCGAATTATGCGTCTCGAATTTATCATAAATTTCCATGTCAAGGGGGAGGGGGCAATTAATGGAATGGGCATTAATGGATTCGAGAATTATCGCTGAACCATCAAAAATAAAGTAATATCGGACAAGGTTAGAACAGGGTACGTGAGTGGCGGGCATTTCTCACGGATTTTGCGATTGGTTTTATGACCGGGGGGTCAGGGATTCAATAATTCATCGACGAATGTTAATTTTCAATTATTAAAAAATTTAACGCGCATCAATTATTATTATGACACTGAAAATCGTAAAGTTCTCGGGTTTATTTCCCCTTGGCTATGAATCGTAAATTTCGACATTAAATCCATAACAAGTTTTAATAATCTTTACCAACCCCTAAATTCTTGGACTTCCCATAGGCTAGGAACTCTCCCCAGCATCAGAACATTTAATTTTCCCCTCGTCATTCTTTCTAGGATTCCAGGATTTGTTAATAAAAATTAACGACCATGAGATCCTCCGGATAAATTGTTTCTTCAATTACTCTGCGGATATTTCTCCCTAAATTCACGGAAAAGGAATTCTGGAATTCAGGAATTGATGCAGAAAATGAAATGTAATTGCAGTGAAAATTAATAGTAATTCGAAAAATTGAGTGCAATTCTTCGGAAATAAGTGTCAATTAAGACCTAGGGAATCAACGATTTCAGAGTCCACTGTAAGTCCCATAAAATTTTAATTCCCACTGCACTCGGAATGTCTTCTCCTCATCGTTTCCACACGAATGCAAATGGCACATGCTGCACCTACAACGTGCATTTTCCACGTGCGTAATGATCATACCAGCGTCAAAGCCTCCATTTTGTGTTCATACCACACCGTCAATTCTCGTTGACGATCCATAAAAACCGGCTACTCGTAATCTCCAGTTATTTATTTAATTTTCTCACCTGACAGCTGACGGTTTTTATTGAATCTCCAATATCACGAGCATCATAAAAAAAAAGTGAATTATTATATTTCCTGGAAATAATTATTTGAAATTTCCCGCCGAACGAATTTTTCCATTTTCAACATTTTATCATTTTATCATCATATATTTATCACATATTTCGGTATTAATTCAAATGAAAATTCAAATAAATAATAAAAATTCACTTTTACAGTTACCATAAATATTTATCTGAACGTATGAAAGGAAAAATGTGAAAATTGATAGTGCAAAGTGATTCATGGGTATTTCACCCGACAAATGCAGCTCCAGAGTGATTTCATTGAATTCTGTAAAAACAAACGAATTGAAAGTGTAATGATACACCAATAAATACGCGGAATATCTTCCGGATAAATAATGTGTACTGGAAATACGATAAATCCAGCATTCAAGATCGCAGGGGGAATTTATCGGTGAATAGGAGAATGAAGCCGACGGGGGAGGGATTGGGTATTGATACCACGCGTCCGGAGAATCGATTCATGCGTAACTACACCAGGAAAAGTTGCCCACCCACGCCCTTTTTTCGATAAGTCCAAGTGGAAATTCAAATGGATTTTTAATATGAAGCTGATCGGTAAAAGTTGATCCTGATCCATTTCCAATTCAAGGAGTTATTCGTTGTCAAATATCATGACTCAATATTTCCAAAAATTATACACATTTATTATTATAAATAGCATATTTGTTTATTCTGAATTGATGTTCAGTATTTATCGCCTGTCTACCTTAAAATCGTTTCTCATGCTCGTTTCTGGAATCATTACTGCGATAAGTCGATCCCCACTCGCGTGTTTCTGTCCGATCTAGAGCGTTAAATGCTAGACCATAGTTGTGCAATAATTAATCGAGAAAGGCGTCGACTTTTACGTCCGCCAGTGACAGAGAACTCGTTATGTCGACGGGTGTACGTCCATGAAAACTTTAACCGCCTGTATTTTTTATCGGACTAAAAATCCGTGAGTTACGGTATAGCTGGGGAATAATTCCCTCCTGATGTTTCCTATCCACGTTGAATTACCGGAAAGGAGTCATTCAAATCTCTTTACGAGTGGTTCAAACTCTCGA